TTTTTTTTTTTTTTTTTTTTTTTTTTTTTTTTTTTTTTTGTTTTCGGTTATAGTTCATAAGAATCTTTGAGCCCCAATCTCTCCCCTGGAGATTGATTTCCTAAACCCTAAAGCCTGATTATGCTCACCAAAGTTGCTCTGTGTGTCGGCTTAGGCGTTGGCGTTGTAACAGTTGTAAGGAGTTTTATGTTCACCGTCCGCGAGGGTGAACGAGCGGTGGTCCACGATCGGTTTCGAGGTCGACCGGACAAAGACAAGTCTGTAGGCGAAGGAATTCATTTTTTTATTCCATGGCTGCAAAATCCCTTTGTATTTGATATTAGTAAGCAGCCTCACACTTTCTATTCTGTGTTCTACACCAAAGATCTTGTGAAGGTAAACGCGACTGTACGGGTATTCTTTCACCCCGATATTTCTCACCTCCCTGTGGCTTTTTTCCACCAAAACCACAAGAGAGTTCTCCCTGATATTGGATTTGCGAGCCTGAATAGTGTGATCTCTAAATTCAGTGCTGATGAGCTTCTGAGCAACAGGTTTCATGTCTCGGCTCTCATGCTTGAGGCACTGGGTCCACGTGCTAAAGAATTCAACCTTATATTGGATGAGCTGACTCTTGTTGATATATCCTTTAGCCCTCCACTTTCCCGGGCTTTGAAGCAGAACCTGGAGTTGCAGCAAGAGCTTGAGCGGGCAAAGATGTTAGCTAAAAGGGCTGAAGAAGAAGGTGCGTCTTTTATGCCGCATGTGGCAGAGGGCAACATGAAGTTATTTTGGATGAGGTTGTCTAGGCGTGATTGACTGTAGATGTAACTCTGCATGTGATTTGATGATGTTCATATTATTGCAACAGGCGATTGAGCGTGCCAAATCAAACAATAGGTCAATTGGGCCGCTTGAGCCTTCAACTTCAATGCTTATTTGAAAGAGGGATTGATTGAATGATCCCTTAGATAATTGAATTTTGGAGAGCAAGAATTGAATTTTGGAGAGCAAGAATTGAATTTTGGAGAGCAAGAATGCTCCATATTCATACATTGAATACAAAAATACAAAAGATATTCAAAAAATCTATCAACAAACCAGTACATAAATCAAAATAAAATCTAATCAAAACTAAATCTAAATAAATACATGATTTAACATTCCTCCTTAGATCTTTAACACCCATCCTTGTTTAGATACTGTGAACTCCAAGCTTTTTTCAACACCCATCTTTGTTTAGATACCGTGAACTTCAACACCCATCTTGTGTTTAGATACTGTGAACTCCAAGCTTTTTTCAACACCCATCTTGTGTTTAGAGGCCTAAGCTTTTTTCAACACCCATCTTGTGTTTAGAGGCCTACGCTTTTTTCAACACCCATCTTGCTCCAATTATCTCTCTGTTTAGAGGTCGATCAACTCCCAAGTTTTGTTTTTCTCGATCATTGAAAGCTCCTCCTCCTCCTCTGACAGGTGCATCATCAATCAAAACATCTTGTCGTTTATCTTCTTGTCGTTCATCTTCAGACTCTTCTAACATTCCAATTATCTTTCTGTTTAGAGGTCGATCAACCAACTCCCAAGTTTTGTTTTTCTCGATCATTGAAAGCTCCTCTGCTGACAGGTGCATCATCAACCAAAGCATCTTGTCGTTCATCTTCAGACTCTTCTAACATGCTACCAAAGAAATTGTTTGGTGCATTAGAAATCTGATTCACCTTCTTCAGTTCTTCCCAGATTCGTCAGTTCTTCCCAATTCCGGCTCACAATAACACAACTAATGTGTGGTTGAAAAACTCTGTAGCTTTTGATATAATGCTATACCCAACAAAGATGGCAGCTTCTGCCTTTTTGTCGAGCTTATCACGCTTGACCGGTGGAATGTAAGTGAAGGAAAGACACCCAAATACTCTAATGAACTTTAAGAAAGGTTTGTAACCATACCAAACTTCAAATGGTGTGAGGTACTTCACAGCTTTTGTTGAAATTTGATTTTGCATCATCTCCATTATGAATCTATTCCTCCATAACATAAGTGACAGAGGCATAACATAATGATCTAATCATGGAAAGCTAGTCATGAATCTCAGTTTACAAGTAGTGCATACGCGTTTGAGTAATGTTTCAGCAAACATACATAATCTCATTCAACATGTGTCATCTCAGTTCAAATGCCTAAAATATACCTTTTTATATCATAAATTTCATGCATATGAGCATAGGTAAAATCCAAAGTTCCGGGGTGCCACTTACCTGAAAAGCGTGACACTTTTTGTTCGGATTTGAGTCTCTAGAGGGTTCCAAAATTTGTCAAACTCATCAGATAATTCCTAGTGCAAAATGAGAATACCATGAAATGGTGCCAAGATCGGAGTTAAATTAAATCGAAAGGGCCAAACCGACCCAATTAAGTCGGGTCGGCTGGACCTCTGCTTGGGTCGGGCCGGCTGCTCCTCGGTTCGCGCACCCGTGGTGGGTAGGGCGGGACGCACGCAGGACCGCGCTGGGCCATGCGTAGCGAAGGCCCGCGCAAGACGCGGAACCCTCGTTTTCCCCCGACCCCCCTTTCTCTTTCACTCACCCCATGCTCTTCGTCGCCTCGCCCTCTGATTCGTTTCCGACGCCCACAATCCTCCTCAAATCTCGTGGATCGTCCTCCCGCAAACACATAGCAACTGAAATCGGGTCAATCCCATGAAGGTTAGGGGATGAATCTAACGGTAGAAGTTCTCAAAAACCCATGAACGTACCTTGGCGTTCTCCCTTCGTTCGACTTCCCTCTTCGGTTTGTATCCATCCAAAGTCGACCGCCGAACACCCGTGGATCTAGCGCTCAAGTTTCTCCGGCGAGCGTGGGTTTCAGTCTCCTACCTCCGGTGCCTTCTCCTTTCGACAAGTTTTAGTCCTTCTTCCTTCCTCAAACACCCACTCTCACCCGTTTTATTCCCACGGGTCTCAGATGAGGGATGGGACGTTGGGAGTGACTGACTGCGCCTGTCATTTCCTTCTTTTCTCTCTCTCTCTCTCTCTCTCTTTTTTTCTTTTTTTTTTCTTCTTTATTTTATTTATTTATTTAGTTATACCTCCTTTGGACCGCCGGGTATTTGTATTACAACTGCGGGGTATTACAAGAAGAATCGAAGTGGGATTTCTGAGTATCCCGACCGCTACTCCTTTAGAAATTCATACTTGGCAAGTCCGCATCCTTTAGAAATGCATTAAAATATTGATGTAGACTATGCTTTTATTGTTAACATGGGTATGGGTATATGTACACGTATAGTAAAGCACTATGTTTCCATCCTAACAGATAAATATATAAAAACACACAAGTTTAGTGCACATATGACATGTGGATAACAAAAGAGCTCCAAAGAATTGTTACCTATACGTTCTGCATTACTATGCTCTTAGTTACACATGGATGTAGTATCTCATAATGCAGAATTAAGTCCTTGAATGGCCTTGAAGATCTGGTCTAATGCGTTCTGCATTTCTATCTCTACTCTCTGCAACAAGAGTAGTGGAGAGTTGGGAGCATGCGTTCTGCAGTTCTTGCGAGCCTTGCATGACTTACACGGGTGGCTTATTGGTGATTGATGGTGGAGGACAAACAAGATTGATCAACACATTCAAAGCTGGCAAAGACTTTTAGGTATCAAGCTAAAACCATTGGATGACCCAAACTCATACTTTCTGCATCCAAAATGACAGGCTACAAAATCCCCATTGCCGTTTAGAGTCACTCTTGAATGGAATCAATTTAGAGTCACTCTTGAATGGAATCAATCTCCGGATGAACTTTAAAATATGGACCTGTTTTTTTAGATTAATTGCCTTCCAAAAACAACAAATATATGTCTGGTTGCCATGGGGCTTTGAACCTTTTAACCTGCTAAATTTTGGACTTCGATGTTCACAACCGATATATCGTTCATTTTCAATCTATTATCGAAAGAACCAGAATTAATGTCTTATTCACTTAATCATATTTGAATTAATAGTTGATTAATGTTATCAATATCAAGAGTTCATGTTTGAACTCCAATTGACACGAAATTAACTAGGACAAAATAAACATAGACATAAAGAGCCCGATGATATTAACTAGGACAAAATAAACATAGACATAAAGGCAGATGATAAGAGATTGTATATACCTCCTGCTAGAATATCTCAGAGTATATATCATTTGCTCAAACAAACAGAAATCCAGAAGTACCCAGAAAGGGAAAGAAGAAAAGAAACCAATAACTTGAATTACAGAAGAAGCAGTAAACTACAAGGACCATCATCCAGATACTGATGAGCACATTTATGAAAAAAATTGAATTTCGTTCTTGCTTTTCACCCATTCAACAATAAAACAGAAATTTTTCAAGGATACCTGGGTCTGGCAGACCCGAATCCAACCCCCTCCCAATCACATATACACAGAAAATGCATGCAAAATAGAAATTTGAGCTTTTTCATGAAATGCATACCAGCACCAATATCAACTCTCTCCCTTCACCTCAATCCAATTTGTTCATAATGGGACCAACAATTTAACTGCGGCTGCTGTTTTGATCGCATGGTGAGGTGATTAGATAACCTTTTATGCCCACATACCAATTGGAAAACAAAATCTGCTGAACACCCCATTTGAAGTTCTGTTGTTAGCTAGCTAGCCAGATGGTGCTCGTAAGGCTACTTTGGAAGAGACAAGAACTGCTTCATTACTTGCAGATTTCACAGCAGCTATCTCCTCTAAGCGTTTCCACTTAGCCTCGCGCTTAGATTTCGTATCCTTCTCGTGTGTCTCTTCTTCTTGAAATTTAAGCAAACATTCCTCAACAGCTCAGGGTCAGCATCCAAGAAGATCTTTCGGACGTTTTGTGTCAAGTTTTGTACATGCTGATTCCAATGGTTTCTTGAATTTCTCTCCAGCGCAGGAAATATAATCGGCAAAATCAGGTTCTTTTTTATTAGGTTCTCAATGTGACTATTGTTCCATAAAAACAGAGTCCTTTCAGCCACCTGAAAATGAACAAGATAAACATGGTACAGCAAGGAAGGTAGAAGAAGATTCATTTCTTTCTACTTAAATAAATAAACAAATAATCCTCCAAAATGATTCCAACAACAGCTATATTTAAATGGTACTTGTGAGACTACATGGATAATCACACTAATCTAACAAGGATATCAAAATATTTGTCAGTAACATCCCCTGTTTCGGAAAGTGCACCTATGCAACCACAAGGGGAAGTGAGCTAGTTGGATGCACCCTAAGCACCTTCCTAAGCTTCAACCATCTAGGACGTAAAAGAACCACAGGAGAGAACTTTTAGGATGACTGTAGTAAAGACAATCACTCTCTTACTAATGTTAAAGCCTTAAACAAGGCCTTCATTTCTTTTGGTCCTTGAGCTATAAGTTCCATTTTGATCCCTAACTTTCAAGCTTTTTAGACCCTAAATTCCGAGTAAAAAATTATTTTAGCAAATTGCTTGTTCACCAAAATGATGAAAAATGTTTGGAGACTATAATAAAGTTTAGGGACTAAGATAGCGTGTTTAGAGTTTAAATGACAAAAGAACAGGCATGAAAGTTTAAAGACAAAAATAGGAATTGAACTTCCATGAATGAAGGCTCTAAAACTTAATATTATTCGTCTTTTCACATATTGTCTAACTCATCTAATTAAGGCTCATGTTCTTTTCCTAGCACCTTGCACTTAAGCTCCAAAGAGCTAATGTTCCCTAGCGCGTCTCATGCTTTAAGGAGATTTTCTATTGTTTCAGATGAAACAATGGATGAAAAGTTACCTCTAAGGTGTGATTATCAAAAAAGCAAACTCGTACACTAAACTGCACCACAATAGTCATGCTGAATCCTAAAGAATGATAAAAATGATTTTAGAAGTAGTAATCTGATAAGCATACCAACGGTGTCAAAAATATTAGGTAACAATTCTTTGGAGCACTTTTGTTATCCACATGTCATATGTGTACTAAACTCGTGTGTTTTTATATATTTATCTGTTAGGATGGAAACATAGTGCTTTACTATACGTGTACCTATATACCCAAGTTAACAATAAAAGCGTAGCCTACAGCAATCAGAAGAACTACATGGATTATATCAATATGGATACTTGGCAAGTCGGCATCCTTTAAGAATGCATTACAATATTGATGTAGGGGCAAAACTCCATGAAATTACATAACATCAAGAGCCCAAGTTCGGAGTATGGATTGCAAGAAGAGACGAAAAATAATGAAGCAAACATTTATTTAAGGATAAAAAATGATTGAATTTAACTTGCAAGAAGAGACGAAAAATAATGAAGCAAACATTTATTTAAGGATAAAAAATGATTGAATTTAACTCACCCTGATCGAATACTAATCTTCTCGTCATCTCTACCACAGCAAAGACTTCAGTTCGATACAAAATCCTCATTGTCACCGTAACCTATAACTTCATCATGTTATCGAACCCTTTATGTTTTTGTTTGCATTTCTTGATTTTATGAACTAGCTACGTCATGTTCTTATGTCAATTAAGACTAATCCTTAGAAAATTGACGTCTCACACAACTTCTAAAAAACAAAATCAACTCACACAACTTCTAAAAAACAAAATCAATTTAGACACATTTTTTATTTTGGCACTTCCGTTCAGCTCTAAGTTTTTGGTTTCATGTTTCACACTCATATTTTATTCGGTCAAAATAGAAGAAGAAACAAAAAAGAATAGAAGTCGAAATTCTTAAAAAAAACAAAAACTCAAATTAAAAATGAACCCAAAAACAAAAACCCAGATAAAAAAAAAAAAAAATTCAGAATGCCATTGATATGCATAAGCTATCCATCAAACTAGTTCTTCTAAATCACAGGATATTATACATCTTCAAACTTGGGCATGTTTTGATGCTTTGATGCAAACTTACTAACAGCAACCTTAAAGGCCTCATCCCAAACAGTAGCAGCTCGGATATTTTCTTCTTCTTTAGCTTCTCTCAACAATAGCATTTTTTGGCGTTGCTGCGCAACCTGCTCGGACTCGCAAGCCCTGGAAAATTCTGGACTAAAGGAGACATTAGTGAAGGATACGTAATCTAAGACAATATGTGATTCTGTAGCCCTGGCAGCCAGTGCCTCACGGATAAGAGCGGAGACATCCATCAAGTTAGCCACAAGCTCATGAGAGGTGAATTTGGAGACCACAGCATCCAGATCCTTATGGTTAATAGAAGGGAGAGTTTGATGATTATGTGGGAGGTAAGGGATATCAGGATGAAAGAGAACACGCACCGTCAAAGTCACCTCTTGACGATCCTTAGTATAGGAAACAAAACTGAAAGTGTAAGGTCGAACACGAATATTGAATATAGAGGGCTTTTGAAGCCATGGAATGCAGAAATGAGTTCCTTCACCGACGATGGTGTTGTCTGTACGACCTCCAAATGGATGGAAGATGACTGCTCGTTCACCCATGCGGACGGTGTACATAGAGGCATTGACAACCGAGGATACCACGCCGACACCAACAGCAAAGCCAGCAACCTTGGTAAGCAGGTGAGTCGTTCTTGAGAAGAAGCTATTCATCATTCTTGAGAAGGGTTTTGAAGAAGAACCGAGTATACCACGCCGACGCCAACAGCAAAGCCAGCAACCTTGGTAAGCAGGTGAGTCGTTCTTGAGAAGAAGCTATTCATCATTCTTGAGAAGAAGGGTTTTGAAGAAGGGTCTTGAGAACATAAGAAGTGGCCCGACACTCGGCCGCCTTGCCCAAACGGCCTAGCTTAAGCAGCCCAACCCACGGGCGCCCAGCTTAAGCAGCCCAACCAAACGGGAGGCCCAGCTTAAGCAGCGCAACCCACGGGCGGCATATCTTAAGCAGCCCAACCCACGGGCCTCCCAGCTTAAGCAGCCCAGCCCACGGCCGCCTTGCCCAAACGGCCTAGCTTAAGCAGCCCAACCCACGGGCCTCCCAGCTGAAGCAGCCCAACCAAACGGGAGGCCCAGCTTAAGCAGCCCAACCCACGGGCCTCCCAGCTTAACCAGCCCAGCCCACGGGAGGCCCATAGGTGCAGCTCACAGACTTCCCTATCAAATAAATAAGCAAATTTACTTGAAATCATTATTTTCTTCTCTTTTAGAATAACCGGATAAATTGTCCATATATATATATATAGTATATATAGTTTTATATATAGTTTTATATATAGTTTTATATATAGTTTTATATATAGTTTTATATAGTATATATAGTTTTATATATAGTTTTATATATAGTTTTATATATAGTTTTATATATAGTTTTATATATAGTTTTCCTTATTCAGTGGTGGGATATTATAATCCTGAAAAAATGCGAATGAGGAGATATTATAATCCTGAATCCTTATTCAGTGGTGGGATATTATAATCCTGAAAAAATGCGAATGAGGAGATATTATAATCCTGAAAAAATGCGAATGAGGACATATTATAATCAAACTACAAAAAAGAATGCGAATGAGGATTCAGAACTACAAAAATGACTATCTAGGTCTCTACGGAATGAGAATTCAGAAAAATGAATGAGAATTCAGAACGACAAATTCTCGATGCCTTGTAGTTTACGTGCATAAAAGAAGAGAAGCCTGCCTTGTAGTTTACATGCATAAAAGATAGTCATTCACCTGCCTTGTAGTTTACATGCATAAAAGATAGTCATTCAAATTTATATGGAACAAAACTATCATATTGAAACTATTATATGGAACTTTAAAACACCCACCCAAAATGGGTTAGGGTTGATACAAAAAAAAAAAGAACACCTAAATGGGTTATACAAAAACTCCCCGCGATACACAAAACACCCCAGGGTTGATACAAAAAAAAAAAGAACACCCCTAAATGGGTTATACAAAAAATCCCCGCGATACAAAAAAACACCCCTAATTTTTCATGGGTTTCATAAACCCAAGCCACCAAGCCGCCCACGTTTCGTCGGCCTTTATTATTTCGTCTGCCTCTTTGGCTTTTCCACAGGAGGCAGAAGTCTCATGCAATTGAACATGATACTCTTCTATCATGTTAGAATAAGGAGTACTAAATTCAAATTTAACTATGGAAAAATTTTCTAAAATGATACCCTTTTCTTTGGCCCTTTTTGAGAGGGTTTCAAAAATGAGATGTGAGATACAGGATAGATTGTTTGATAATTCACCGGCAGTTGATTGAGAGATTACGGAATGAACCTTTTCGAAGGTGATAGATTTCATCATCTGAACAAAAACAAAAAGTATGTTACTTACTAACCCGTGATGTGTAGATTCTAAAAATAAAAAACAATTACTAACCTCGGTGTAATAATCGAATCCTAATTTTTTGCTCATTCCTACCAGGGCAGTCACATCGGGTCGATACAGAATCGATACCGTCACTGTGACTGACTGAAGGTGCTGTAGGAAGCATTGCAATGTGATGGTCTGAGGACGACCCGTCATGTCCACGACTCGAATTTCTTCGATCCATGGAATCAAGAAATGGGTCCCTTCTCGAACAGGCTCCTCGGGTGATTTGCCGAATTTTCTAAAAATTATACCTGTTTCGCCAGGACGCAGAGTATAATTTGATACCCTCGTGAGGATGGCTACTCCCGCTATGACATTAAGTACTCTGACCACTGAGAACCAACGCGACATTAGGAAGGGGTTTGCAGCAAGAATGGAGAGGGTTGAGGGTTTGCAGCAATAATGGATTGGAGAAGGTTTGCAGCAAGAATGGAGAGGGTTGAGGGTTTGCAGCAAGAATGGATTGGAGAAGGTTTGCAGCAAGAATGGGGAGGGTTGAGGGTTTGCAGCAAGAATGGGTTGGAGAGGGTTTGCAGCAAGAATGGGTGGGAGAGGGTTTGCAGCAAGAATGGGTGGGAGAGGGTTTGCAGCAAGAATGGGCTGGAGAGGGTTTTGCAGCAAGAATGGGTGGGAGAGGGTTTTGCAGCAAGAATGGGTGGGAGAGGGTTTGCAGCAAGAATGGGTGGGAGAGGGTTTGCAGCAAGAATGGGTTGGAGAGGGTTTGCAGCAAGAATGGGTTGGAGAGGGTTTGCAGAAATGAGGGTGGGAATCGTCAATTGGCGAAGGATATCAGGAAGGGTTTGGAACAAGAATGGTCAATTGGCAAGGGATATCAAGAAGGGTTTGGAACAAGAATGGAGAGGGTGGGAATCGTCAATTGGATATCGGAGGGTGGGAATCGTCAATTGGATATCGGAGGGTGGGTTTGGAGCAGAAATGAGAGTGGAGCGAGGTGGGACTTTGTATTCTGTGGCACATATAGGCAGTTTCAGAAGCTTTAAGAAGCTCGAAGAAGGTTTTTTTTTCTACGGAAGGCTATTTTTTTTTTACGGAAGGATATTTTTACCGGCATTCTACTGAATGTGTCGTCATTCTACTCAATGTGGTTTTAGTAAAACTATTTTTTTAGCATATAATTTCAACGTTCCTGTTTTACTAAGAAACTTAAGCTATTTTTTTAGCATATAATTTTAACGTTTAGATTCTCTAACTTGTTTTACTAACAAAGAAATTTATAAATTTTATTTATGATTATTTAAACTATTACATAAAATTTAATAATAAAAAAATCAAATATAATCGATTTTACTTACTTGGATTTTTTTTTACTCTTCGATTCCACCTCTTTTGAGATCAAAATCTTTCCATTTAATTCCACCTCCTTCCCTCCATCTCTGTGATGTGTTATGATGTTTTTACTTCTTCTTTTACAGCCCTGCATTTGCAAAAAGTTACGGCACACTTGAGAAATTTGATAGTGTAAGAATTATTTCACTAGTGAAGTTACGGCACACTTGAGAAATTTGATAGTGTAAGAATTATTTCACTAGTTATCACTTCAGATGGTCTAGTTACATTACATGCTATGCGCAACATGGTATGTGCATGCAGTGAAGAGACCTTGGTTTTTTTTTTTTTTTTTTTTTTTTTTTTTTTCTTTTTTACAAGAGGGATGTGTATAATTCATGATGTTTACAAAAGACCATCCCAATTTGCAATGAGGGAGGTATAACTATAGGAAGTAAAAATACTAGACAGTTTACACCAAGATATAGCTTGGTAAACGACATTGTCGAAAAGTTTTGTGTAGGTCTGTGTCGATCTATCGCCTAACTATAGTAACCTTGGTTTGTTAGATATGGGCTTGTCGATCTATCGCCTAAATGCCTTCTATCTTTTTTCTTATATGAGTTATGGATTGTGTGCTATACCAGGACAACAATCTTGGACTCGTGAAGCAGGCTGTACAAGCAACATCCAGAGATTGACGCTTACGAAACGTACTTGACCCTCTCACTTCAAGATATAGCAAATACTGTTAAGCTCAACCATCCTAAGGAAGCTGAAATGCACGAACTACAAATGGTAACTTCAGAATCGCAGGATTAATCTATAAATCAGCATCTAGAGAAATCTATAAATCAGCATCCATCTCTAGTAAAATCAGTTTTTGGTACAATTTTAGATCCAGGAGGGTGAGATTTTTTGCAACGGTTAATCAGAAGGATGGAATGGTCAGATTTCTAGAGGATTCCGAACAGTACAAATCCTGCAAGATGATTCAGAATATTGACTCGTCTATTCAGAGGTATGATGCTTGGAATTGAATGAGAAAACAAAAGTTTAGTAAATATATTGAATGATATCATGATAATGCGTCCTTTCGATTGGAATTTTCTTTTCATAAATAAATAAAAAAAAATCAATCATATTTTGTAGAGCAGCTTTATGGCAACATAAGCAGCGCTGGCTGAATTGCCATATACTAGTGTGTAGTATTTAGCTTCCTCAAACTCAGCAGCTAAAGGGCTATTCCTAGTGAAAATAATAATATCAAATGTTGAAAGTACGTAGAGTTTACATCTACCAACGTTAAAGAAAACATTAAAATAACATAGATGATCATGAATGTGCGTATGAACTATACTCAACAAACCTCCAAATGAGCAGCAGCCTTGTCCTTATCAGTGAAAACTCCAGTGGATTCAACCACATACTCAGCTCCAGCCTCTCCCCATGGGATCTCCTCCGGGTTCCTAATGAATGAGTAAGCCAAATGCTTAATTGTCAGATTGTTAAAAAAAATCAGATGCTTAATTATCCGATCGTTAAAAAATCAAAGTAAAGAAAAGAGATCATGAAAATACCTAGTACCAAAAACGGCGACTGCTTTTTCTCCAAAGAGAAGAGTCTTGCCGTCCTTAACCTTAATATCGTGGTGCTTCCACTGGCCGTGTACACCATCGTATTTGAACATGTAGGTCTGCAATTGTGCATTGATATAAACGACAGGGAGCCAAGTAAAGATCCAACGCAAACAGACGAGAACGGAAATATCTGAATCAAAGCTTCAGTCGTTCTTAGACAAGTATTAAAATTCGTAGGATGAGGTTTGGATTCAACTATATAAGAACTATATACTCGTGTGTAACAAAAATGGCTGGCTATAGAAGACCAGGTAAATCTAGGAAAAAATCTAGAAGTAGATCCGTAAGTAGGATCCAACGACAGAAGTGGAGTATCCAATTACTTGGTTGGTTGGGTAACTAGGATCCAACGACGGAAGGGTGGATCCACACTTAACGTGGCCACAATAAAACACACTACTTTCTTTTTACAAAAAAGATACCTGGTTGTGCGTCTGCTGCTTAAGCACGCAAGCGACAGTAGTTTCAAGAACATGCCCGTCGAGTACCAGAAAAAGATGAAGTGCGTGTAGTTACCAGAGTTCCGAAGTTCAATATTTATAACGGTTGGATGATAAAAGTCTCACATCGACTAATTTAGGAAATGATCATGGGTTTATAATCAAGGAATACTCTCTCCATTGGCATGAAGCCTTTTGGGGAAGCCCAAAGCAAAGCCATGAGAGCTTGTGCTCAAAGTGGACAGTATCGTATCATTATGGAGAGTCGTGTTCGTATAAAAATAACTTCGTAGGTTGGATTGGTCATTGGAGGACAAACATATAGTAATTTTATTTTTCTCTGTGCAGAATACGAAAATTACAATACAGCATTCCAGTCCAGATGATGTATTTTCATAGCAACTTGGGGAAGTTGATGTTATAAGTCATACAACTACTAAAAGCAATGATCAAAAAATTACTTTGACAGAAAAATTACTTGACAGATAATGGATGCTGGAAGCTGATTCTTCCAACAGTTTGAGAGTCCCTGCAAGCACAACCATTATAACAGATTATATTACAAAATTAGTTTTTGAACATTCAAATCTTTTAAAATTTAAAGATACAAGCTTTGAAAGTTCAAACATTTTATTAAATATAAAATTCGCTTTTAGTTTGTTTTAATTAATGACACTGTCAAACCTCAAAATTTACCCTAATCCACCCAAAAAAGCGGCACAGGCTACCGTGGGAAAGTAAATTCGAATCATGCATCCCTTCGGCTCTTGAAAAATGTAATGCGCCAGGAGAAAAAGGTAAAATCACTCACTATGTAACAAGGATGTACTTTCATTTTTTCAACTCTCGTTGTTCAGCACACGGCAGATCAGTAGAAGACTCCAGATAAGAAATGACAAGATCAGCAGCTTTGCATCCGGAGGCTATAGATTTTCCAACAGACAAACCATCCCTGTGGTTACCTACAAGGTACGTGATTCATAAGGTTGAAAATCCACAACTCACAAGAAACTAAAAGTATGCAAGATTTAGAAATGAAATAGTGCATATTACTCGGGGATAGGAAAATTGAATGTAACAAAACAGTAAGAATACGCCCATCACATCACGTCATAGGATTTGAACAAATATGTACGAAGCTAGATGTAAGTAATGTAAACCTAAAAACGAAAAACGGATATGAGGATGACAAAAAAGTTAATGGTATAATATGATTTAAGAAAGAAAGTTTGATGATTATATTAACCTTAACTTACAAGCTTATCAGAGAAACCTAGCTAAATTTTTTTAACTAGTAATTATTTAAAATAATATGAAAAAGGATATTCTAAAATTTGAGTCTTCCTTTGCTTCTCTGCTAGAAAAGATAATAATAAAAACTTCATATTAGTATTATTCCACCTCATATCAACAGTACCATGCCTTGTGTTAGACATTGCTAATCAAACAAATAATCAAATCCACATAATAGAGGATGCGCTGAAAATAAATTTTAAAAACGAATCACTCTTAGATTTAATTATCAAGAATAACAGTTATTTAACAACCTCAAATTCTAGTTCTAATTCTAATTCAGAACACTCAAACACAAGAATAATTTCTGCAAATTCTGGATGCCTTGTAGTTACCTGCATAAAAGAAGCCAGGAAGACTTTTTTCCATTGTTTCAATTGCCTTCACAACTGAATCATAGTTACGCCCATATAAGGGAAATGCTTTCCTCCAGTAGAAATGGCTGTCATTGTACGTATAACGTGCCAGAAGAAAGTGTGAACACACGTGAAAGTTCTTCACATTTATTTCTAATCAAAACTATCAGGAGTGATACGATGTAAATGGAAGTTTGTGTACTTGACAAAAGTGGGCTCCCCTTCAACTCCCAACAGCTGTCTGAGATCCGATGTAACAATTTGCTTCAGCTCATCCCTGGAAAGCAAGAGAAGGAAAGTTTAGTTGCAACATGCAAGAATAAAACAGAAGTAAAAATAAAACAAAAACAATTTGTTGAACTAGATAATGGCCGCAATATATTTTTTGTTTGTTTGCATAATAATGAAAACCAAGTAGCGCTACTAACGTTGATGACTTTGCAAGCTCCCTGTTTCGACCCCCTCCAATAAAAGTAGTATACAGATACTCATCATTTGATGCACGATTTGGAAACATCATGGAGGAAAAGAGTGTACCTGTAGAGAAGAATTACTCGTCTGTTTGGAGGAACAATGTAAGTTTTCAGGAATCCAAAAGAACAAATAAAAATTACCAAGGGTTCTTAGACCATTTTGTTGCTCTAAGGAAGGTACAAGAACTCCAAATCCCTCCAGTGGTCGCTTAACACTTTCCTTTCTGAAGGTAGTTATCATGACTGACAAAGGCAAGTAGGCCACCTGTAATAAAAATAGTGAAGTCTTCAGCTACTCTTACGAAGTTGCTTTGAGGTTTAAGAAGATCCAGTACTTATGTACCAAAGGAAGAAAGGGAAAAGTCGTGAGGGGGGCTCAGGTGTTTAGACTCGGGGGAATGGGAGTCTTCGGCATGTTTTGATGCTAGGCCTCACCTGATGCTGAGGATGCTTTAATATTCTTACTAGGAGCAACCTCAAAAATCTCATTCAACTCGGGCGTCTTTTGATGCTTTGATGCAAACTTACTAACCTGCTCGGACTCGCAAGCCCTGGAAAATTCTGGACTAAAGGAGACATTAGTGAAGGATACGTAATCTAAGACAATATGTGATTCTGTAGCCCTGGCAGCCAGTGCCTCACGGATAAGAGCGGAGACATCCATCAAGTTAGCCACAAGCTCATGAGAGGTGAATTTGGAGACCACAGCATCCAGATCCTTATGGTTAATAGAAGGGAGAGTTTGATGATTATGTGGGAGGTAAGGGATATCAGGATGAAAGAGAACACGCACCGTCAAAGTCACCTCTTGACGATCCTTAGTATAGGAAACAAAACTGAAAGTGTAAGGTCGAACACGAATATTGAATATAGAGGGCTTTGGAAGCCATGGAATGCAGAAATGAGTTCCTTTTCACCGACGATGGTGTTGTCTGTACGACCTCCAAATGGATGGAAGATGACTGCTCGTTCACCCATGCGTTCGGTGTACGTAGAGGCATTTACAACCGAGGATACCACGACGACACCAACAGCAAAGCCAGCAACCTTGGTAAGCAGGTGAGTCGTTCTTGAGAAGAAGCTATTCATCATTCTTGAGAAGAAGGGTTTTGAAGAAGAACCGAGGATACCACGCCGACACCAACAGCAAAGCCAGCAACCTTGGTAAGTAGGTGAGTCGTTCCTGAGAAGAAGCTATTCATCTTTCTTGAGAAGTAGGGTTTTGAAGAAGGGTCTTGAGAACGGAAGAAGTGGCCCGACACTCGGCCGCCTTGCCCAATCCAAGGGCGGCCCAAGCCACGGGCGGCCTAGCTTAAGCAGCCCAACCAAACGGGAGGCCCAGCTTAAGCAGGCGCAACCCACAGGCGGCCCAGCTGAAGCAGCCCAGCCCACGGGCGGCCCAGCTTAAGCAGCCCAACCAAACGGGAGGCCCAGCTTAAGCAGCGCAACGCACGGGCGGCCCAGCTTAGGCATCCCAACCCACGGGCGGCCCAGCTTAAGCATCCCAACCCACGGGCCTCCCAGCTTAAGCAGCCCAGCCCACTGGAGGCCCAGCTTCAACAGCCCAGCCCACGGGCGGCCCATCTTAAACAGCCCAACCCAATGGCGGCCCAGCCCGAGCAGGCGCAACCCGACCCGGTTCGACTTATTTGGACCGGTTTTGCCTCTTTTTGTAAAATTTTTATGTTTCGACTCCTTGTTAAGGAAGTGAGTCGTTCTTGAGAAGAAGCTATTAATTCATTCTTGAGAAATCGATCGACTGAGGTTTGAATCCTTCATGGTAAAATATGTCTAAGAATTAAGAATCGATGATATTTACCATTTTGGGTACCGTCATTTTAGGAGCAATTTGCCATTTTGGGTACCGTCATTTTAGGAGCAATTTTCCTTCCTTTTTTTTTTTTTTTTTTTTTTTTTTTTTTTTTTTTTTTTTTTTTTTTTTTTTTTTTTT